CAATGCGGAATCTAATACATTTAATTGTTTCTAAATCGAGAAAATAAAACAAAACAGAACCAAATATGTTCATTTACAACAGCATCAACGTCGCATACAATGACATACCTTACTTCCAAGATAAAAAAAAAGAGATGGATAAAATGGGAAATATTTATTGATAACACCTGAGCTCCTCTCGCGATTGTACACATGTACATTATTTGCTTAAAGTTCATGCCCTGTGCACACGCAAGTCGTATTGTATATATGTTTTCCTCCACAAAACATATGAACAGAAAATGAAACATTTTCATGTGAAGCGAATAAATTCTTTTATTAATATTTTCATGTGAAGCAAATGAATTCTTTTATTAATATGTGGTACATGTATGTAGTTTTGACAATTTTAACTTTAAAACATTGTAACTAAATATTTTGAGATTTAATATTGCTTGCAATTGTTTGGTATGAACATAAATGACTTATAAAATGAATATAAAATGAAAAAAAAATCATTCATTGCACATTCCTGCTTGATAGTGAACTTTAAAAAAAAATAACAAAACACTGTTTCTTTTTCTTATTTACAGAAAACAAGAAAAAAGAGATTTTTAATGCAAACTATATATCAAAATACATACTGAGGATATTTTCAAATGATATTAAGCTTTGAATACGTAAGCTTTACTCTTACTATATGTGACGCAAAATTAATAAAAAAAAAATGGGCTAAACATAGTTTACAGTTGAGAAGACTATGTTAATCAATTGCAAACTATAGTTTAAAAGAAACAGATGAGAGTTACCGGCGTAAATCCATATAACTTGTCTAAACCATATATTGTAAACGCATCAATCAATGATTTAAAAGAATAAAAATACGCTCAACATTGAAAAAAAATACATACATGTATTTTCACTAAAAAAATTTTCTGATATATACGAGATTTTTATGTTTGTTATGGACACATTAAAGGTGACATAGTAAAAAACCTTAGATCACTTATTTTAAAAGGCCCTAAATATATGGATCCCCGATTTAACTGGCTTCGGAATTTCAAAATCACTGTTGAAGATTGCTTGCACTTCGTCAGAATGGATTAAATGTCTCAGGTCCGTGTTAAAATCGTGTATTAAATTCAAGGTATCACACCGGTAATTGTTTTCACTATGTATTTCTATACAGAATAAAAAATCGTTAAAAATCAGGTATTTGTTTACATGAAAAAATATTTAGCAGGAGGTGTTAAACATTACCTGTCACATTAGCTGACACAAAAAAAAAGGGTACCTACACGGCATTTTCGGACTTTTTCCATCTGCAAACAGGGCTACCCTCAAATCCACGTGTTTTCACTGTGTTTATAAACACCTCGAGTGCATCACAGGAAGTAGACTCCTATGCCCTAAAAAAATAGTTCCTGTCAAAAACCTTTATTTATTCACAAAGTATATAAAATTTATTAGGCACAGGTACCAAAGTTGTAAAAATGGCTTGGAAGAAAATAGAAAAACGTCTCAAAAGAAAAGAAAATCAATTCTATATGTATGGACCTACATTTGACTAAGTTCATTTTGATTGGTCAATTACCGGTGTGATACCTTGAAAAGATTGAGGGCAATATGAAGACTATAATCCAGAAGTGAAAAAGAATTAGATAGATTACATGATCAGTAGTGGTCCCTGGTGACAAAGCAGGTAATTGTCTTCGTTTGTAAGGCTTATTATTAAATTTAAAATGGATTTATAAACATATACTTATAGTAGTTGATAAATTCTTCAAAATCATATATCAGTTTTAAATATTTTTATATTAATATCCCGAATTACCAAAATGATTTTTGAACTACCTTATATATATATATATAAGAATCCTTACAAACAAAGATACATTTCAGGCTCCAGTAAATGTTCAACCAAGCCTCTTTCTTTACTCCTCACTAAGATATTGACATTTATGAAGTAAAATCTTCAAGAGTACTGTGCAACAATATATTCAAGAAGTGGTGTGAATAGTTTCCAAAGAACTTTTGGAAAAAAATCAATTTTACCAAATCAATTGCAAAAAACTTATTTTCAGTTTAAAAATTCCCCAAGATAAATTAAAGTCCAGTTTTTTTCATATCATTGACAGCTTTTTCAATAAAAATGGAACTCGTAAACTTACTTGCCTAGTCATTGGTCATTTCCAAAATTATTTTGTTAAAACACATTATGATTGCACACACAAGTACTCTGAAATTGACATCAAAAAGAAGCTTGAGTTTCTGATTGACAATATCTATGTGGTTTTTGGAGACCAGGTCTTCCAACAATATATTATTGGAATTCCAACTGGAAACAATTACGCCCCGATATAAGCAGATCTATTTTTGTATTCCTATGAAGCAGAACTTGTTCAAAAAATGCTGTGGCCTTCAACTGATTAATATATCGAAACAATTAACAATGGTAATTTCCTTTCCTATGTCGATATTTTACTAGAAAAAGACGTTAATGGTAATCTAAAAACCAGGCTCTATGATAACCATGATGACTTTAACTTTTTTAACGTCAACATCCCTTACTTATGCAGCAGCAATATACCTTGGCTTCATTACCTGCATACGGCGTTTATATATCTCAGTTGATTCGAAACGCAAGAGCATGATCTACATATGAACAATTTCTAAAGCGAGGTAAGTTGTTGACAAACAGATTGATGAAACAAGAATATCAGCAGTCTCGTTTATTTCGTATGTTCTATGGTCGATACAGTGGCCTTGTCAGCAAATACAATTTATCCTTGAGTCAAATGTTGACTGACGTTTTTTCATACTAATTGTCAGTCCATTAGTTATACCTTGAATTGACGGATTTTATTTCATCATGACAAGAACATAAAAATGCGGCAAATATGTTTTAATATTCTTATTTTGTATTGTTTTATGGACTTTGATATTGAATACTGTTCAATACTGTTGTCTCCATATCCTAATATACAGCTTCGTAATTAGCAAGAAAACACTTGCTGTTGCCTTCAACTCGACATTTAGATATATTGAAGAAGTATCATATAAACTATAGTAACATTTATTCATTTGTCGATTCGATATATCCCTATGAACTTGAAAAGAAAGCTAACATAGAGTCTGTCACATCTGTTTCATATTTGTTTTTACTAACTTTAGACGATAAGGACCATCTAACCACTAAACTGTATGACAAACGAGGTGGATTAATCTTTTCTATCGTAAACTTTCCTTATTTATGTAGTTATATATATCCCGCTATCAACTGCATATGGTGTTTTTATTTCCCAACTTTTTCGATACTCAAGAGCATGCTCCGAGTTTAATTAATTTTTAAATCGAGGCAGGCTACTGAGAAATAAGTTAATGTTACAGGACTTTTAACATCATTTAAAATCGACATTTCGTAAATTCTATGGTCTAACAATGACTTTTAAAAAACCTTACATTGGATTGTACTAAGGCTGACTTTATTTCAGACCAATTGTTAGGCCTTTGTTCTTATAGGCTACTGAATTTGACTTCAAAATGTTTCATCTGTCTGTTTATATAAGGCATAAGGCAAGTGTGACAGGAGATATTTACTCCTTCTAGGCACCTGATCCACCTTTGGAATTTCCAGAGGTCCGTGTTTTATGTCCTCGTCACAGATTTTAATTATCTGTAGATTTTTAATCGATCACTGTTCGACATCTTCATTTTTTTCATTTAAAACTATTTAATTTTTTGTTTATAAAAACGATAGATAACAAATCGTTTCTCATAGATAAGTGCTAAATTACAGTCATTATTAAAGTCATAAATTACAGTGTTAAATTTATTATCTTTTATTACCCAAGACAAACATCTTAAAGCATCGAATCAACAAATAATAAATATACTTTATCAACTATAAATCTAAGTTTAGCTCACTTATTGCAAGTCATACATTAATATAAGTACACACGAAAATGCATTGAGCATACGTGGGTTATGTTTCTGCTATCAAATATGAAACAGTTTAAGACAAAAGTGTTTACACGTGACACATGAAGAGTTCTACTTAAATATGACCTTATTATGGTTAATTCACTTTTATGTGTAATTCACAAGGTCAAATACATTAAGGCCAATAACCCTAGAAGCTAAGGCATATTCCAGCATGAACAAAGGTATATGACAAAGAAAAAAATTAACTTCTTCCATTCGGGACATTATAGAACATAAAGAGGCCTGCTATAAAATATAGGGAAACCATGCTGAACGGAACAATAAAATGTCTTAAGCTTGCATGCGAAATAATTTTTACTTGAATAAAGTGTAGTTTAGGTCTTGGTCAAATGTACAAGTTGACTTTGAAATTATGTTTGATTCTTTAAGGCAGGAATGAACATTTTAGAGAATTATTTTGAACTATAGTCTTTTATTCGTTACTGACCTCGAGTTAAAGTGACATACTTATTTTCAAAGGTCATAGTTTTTCGGAATGAAGAAACACTCGTGTTTGCTTTTAAAAAAATCTGGTCACTGAGATTAAATTTATAGATTAACTACTTTTAAATAACATTACAATGCATTGATTTTGGCAATAATGAAAACTGGATATAAGTATAATTGAGATATCTATTTTGAATGCTTGTAAATGCTTGTCAAATGAAGTATCAGTGTAAACAAAGACTTTTAAAATAAGTGGCCTAGTTTATTGTCACTGTCTATTTATGTCTCAGTGCAGGTCATAAATATTACATGACCTAAATTTTAATTTTTTCTTATGTAAAGTTCATTGAATTTTAAATAAAATTATAAGGAAATAAGAGAGATAAAAAAGAGTGATGCATATATCAAAATGTATGAAAGTCCAGTCCTCCAGTCCTTGTAGTCTTGTAAATCATGGATATCCTAGCATTGGCTCAATTCTATTAGTATGGAGCACAATATAGTTCATATAAGTAATTTCCTGCACACATGGATATTTAGACAACATTAAACAGTCACTTGAAGTGTTTCCTGTAATTTTTAATAGCTATATATATGCCTTGAACTATCACTGGGAACTTGCACATGTTTTGAGATAAGTATCCCTCAATGTGCTTTGGACTGTCATATAGCAATAAAGAGTCGTTGGTTTGAATAAGGTTTAAAAAGTTCGGAACTCTATTGGCCACGGTGTAAGAAAAAAAAATCACAGCTGTGTTGTGCATTTCAGCTAGTATAAATTACATGTAGCGTTAGGTCACAAGCTACTGAGAGGAGGCGATGCGTGTCGACAGAGATTGGGATACATGCCTAAATTAACAGTGCGAATCACGCACTAGTAACATCTAGTAAACAGATTAATGTGGGTCAGTTTTGGGAATTAAAGATGCCAGCTGTACGCGCAAAAGTTTGGGGAATTGTAAAGGACATTTTGTCGTTTAGGTCCATCTTGATTCCCATTTTGGCCACGTTGCTGCCACTGTCCATGGTCCTGAACTCCGAGTCCAAGGTGAGTTTTTACGTTTCTTAGTTTCTTTAAGGAGATTTATCCATCTCCTTTACAACTTTAAAAAACTTTTCCTCAAGTAAAACAAAGGCATTGAACTATGCAGATAACTTGAATTATGCGCCTCATTTATGCACGAGAACACATTTTGCTTGGCTGACCATTTCTACACCAAATGTGCTCAAATCATTGAATATCGTGTAACAACTATGTGCAACAGCAGGGATTTTAATCAATACATGATCATATCTTGATTGAAAACCTCGGGTCATTTGTTTGTCGAAAACAGTATTGGTTAAAAGGTTTTAAAACACGTGTTCGCTTCTAGTATTAAAGTTGTCTTATAAATTATTAATGTAGATGAAGGATAATAATTTAAATATTCAAAACAAAAAAAGAAAAGATAAAAACACTTTTGACCCTTTCTCCACAACCTTATTTCAGATTTTTGTTTTCCCAGCATGCTCCACATTTCTATTTGATGTTATAGATTAAGCTTTAGATGTGAACACAATCTTGAGGCTTAGTCGTGCTGTTAAATGTATCACAAATATGTTTTCCCTTGCAAATTAAAAAATAAAAAGATATAAATACTAAAACTTTATACAGATTCTCTCGATGTGTTTGGTAGGCGACAAGATGTGGCTATACTATGGTAGTAATGGCGGTCCTCTGGCTTACGGAAGCCCTGCCTATTCCGGTCACTGCTCTTATGCCCATATTCATGCTGCCCATGCTAGGAGTGTCCACTGCTAAAGAAGTTAGCAGCAGCTATGTAACGGTAAGATAGACAAGCTGCGAAAATAAGCGTAATGCACAAAATTGTTAATGTATAAAAAATGAATGGAATTTTCTTACGAACTTTTATTCATTATATTTTGAAAAACATACAAGAAATCACATAGTCTCTTTATTTGTAGATTTTTAAAGAAAATCTTAACTTTGTTTATATTGAAAAGAGTTAAACCATTAGCAAATAGGTCAAAACATCGACTTAAAAACCCTCTGAAAAAGATAATTATTCCGCCTGAGTTGGTTGCTCATATACACCTCTTATTGCATAGTCGTCCTGGGGTAGAATTTTTGGTAGATTGACAACGATTATCTGAATTGTATTTAAACGAAGCAAAATCCTATAATGAAAGTTGACAAAATTGAAGATTGTTAGCCAAAGCGTCTTTCACTAATCAACAATTTTCAATTGCCAGTGAGCAAATTAGTCCTGTACTGATTGGCAATTGAAAATTGCTAATTAATGAAAGACAAGATTTCATAGTAAGAATTATTGCCCCCGAATATTTAGGACACCTCTATGCTGTTCCTTGGTGGTCTCATTGTGGCAGTTGCAGTCGAGGAATGGAAACTGCACGTGAGAATAGCCCTGACCGTACTCCGATTTGTTGGCTCTCAGCCAAACCTGTAAGCATCAACCTATCAACCTCATTTACTTGTTATGCTGTAATCATATTTGTTTTTGTTTTTACATGCACTTTAAAAAAAAAATAGTTTCTCATTTTTCTGCGAGTCCTCAATTTGATAGATTTTAATGAATTTGTCACTATTACCCTCGAAAGAACGTCGTGACAGTTGAAAATTAGAAAGTAAGATAAGGTCTTAAAAAATTTGATTTCAGTTTGATGTTAGGTCTCATGTTGCCCACGTGGTTTTTGTCAATGTGGATCAGCAACACAGCAGCAGCAGCCATGATGATTCCTATTGTGAGTGCAGTGACGTCACAGGTTAAGTCGGCCTCCAGAGCAAACCGTGAGTGAAATAAAAAAAATCTTATTTGATCAGAAATATTATTAATATGTAGAGGTTTTTTAATATATTTTTGGGACAAAGAAACTGGGGAACTGCAAAATTGATTTTAGATTGATTCGAGAAGTGGTGTAAATCAGATGTGGATGCTTAAAAATTTCAAGGAACCTTTGAAAAAATTCAAATTAAAGATTTTTTTTTTCAAAATCAACAGCATTTAAGCTTACGACTTTTCAACTTGTAAAAATATACAACCAACCCCCAGATAAATTAAAGTCCAGGCTTTTTATGTCATTAACAGCTGCTTTTTGAATAAAAAAATGGAACTCATAAATTTACTTTGTTATTGGTCATTTGCAAAATCATTTTGTTAAAAAAACATTCTAATTATACACACAAGTACCCTGAAGTTGATATTAAAAATGCTTGAGTTTCTGATTCACAATATCTATGTGGATTTTGAAGACCAAGTCTTTCAACAATCTGTTGAAATTCCCATGGGTTCCAATTGCACCCCGTTATTAGTATACCTTTCTTGTATTCATATGAAGCAGAATTGGTCCAAAATCTTATACGTGAATAGAAGAAAACACTTGTTGTGGCCTTCCACTCGACATTTAGATATATCGAAGACGCATTATCAATCAACAATGGTTATTTCCATTCTTATTTCGATACGATATATCCTGATGAGCTTTAGATAAAAGATACCAAAGAGTCTGACACATCTATTTCATATTTGGATATTTAACTTGAAAAAAAAAACGTTAATGGTAATCTAACAAACAAACTCCATGATAAGCATGATGACTTTAAACTTTTCAATCGCCAACTCCCCTTTCTTAAGCAGCAATATACTTTAATCACCTGCATGCATACGGAGTTTATATCTCTCAGATGATTCGATACGCAAGACCATGCTCTACGTATATACAATTTCTAGAACGAGGTAAGTTATTGACAAACAAGTTGATGCAGCAAGAATATCAGCAGTCTCATTACAGTCATCATTTCGTAAATTCTATGATCAATACAATGGCCTTGTCAGCAAATACAATTTATCACTGAGTCAAATGCTGACTGACGTTTTTCATACTTATTGTTAGTCCATTATTTACACACTGAATACAACAAATTTTTCCGTCATTTTCCGATCATGGCAAGGATCACACGGTGGGTGTGACCGGTTGGCAGGGGATGCTCACTCCTCCATGGTACAAGATCCCAGCTCTGATGTTTTTGAGGTCCATTTTTGCTCTGCTCGTATTTTATATTGTTTAATGGACTTTTAAGCTTGAATACTTTTCGTTATCTTCATATATATCATCACCCAATAAACAGAATTCGGTAACCAGTTTAAAGCTTGTTTATAATCTAAGATGACGTTATGTTGACAATAATGTTCCCTGGTACACCTTTTAATGCGTAGGTATATTTCCAACATACGCACTTGCAAAGCTCCAAAAAGGATATGGGTATTCCACCAATATCTCCCAGTATTCTTTTTTTAATATCAATTTATTTGAAAAATATTGAATAGTCAGACTTCATTTTTGTGGCTTTGTGTTTGTTTTGTTATGGTACTAAATAGTATGAATAATTTAACTAAAGAAAATCAAATAGATATAGAGACAATAATATTAATGCTATTCTGATATTTCCATTTCCTTTAACACCATGTTCAATTAATGAAAATCAAGACTGGAGGAAACTGACTAGAGAAAATGTAACCCAGCAGCTCTTTAGTATTACATCATATTGCTGCATCATCTTGTATTTACATTAACAAGAGACGATGTCTTCGTTAATTAGAATAATTCTTTTCATATGCGCCATGATACTCTGATTGCTCACGCCATAGTGAATTTTAGTTGCAGCAGAAAGCCTCGAAATCCTGGATGACATGCTTCTCCTAGAATCGAAAAGCGACGGAACTTCTGACATTCAGAAGAGCGAAAGTGCAGTTTCGACTTCCATATCAATGAAAGACGAAAAGGACCAAGAATTCAAAGTCAATGACAAATCTACACCAGTCGACGAGAACAAAACAGAAAACAAGCGGTAGGGGACATACATTGTACCAAAACACAATATACGTTCATTATAAATAAACAATGCTTGTCCTAATTATAGGGTTGCGTTGAAAGTGCAAATATTAAATACGGTACGTCATGACTGTAAAGTACTTAGAACAGATGTTTATTGCTCTACAGAACGAAGAATACCACAGAAGTTGATGAACACAACACCAGACTCGGTAAGGCGCTGGCACTGTCTATTGCCTACGCTGCCAACACCGGCGGCATCGCCACGCTCACCGGAAGTCCACCTAACCTGGTGTTCAAGGCCGTGGTAGACGAGTGAGTCACATTTAATTTTTGATCAGTAATTATATTACTATTATTAGTTTTTTTATATAACTTTTAGGTAATAACTATGCACATCAAAGTAACAAAGTCTTAAGCCAATTGAACCTTAATGCCTAATTATTGCCAAAGAACATGCATTTATTGCGAGATATCTCTGCCCCATGCATGCATAATAAATAAGTTTGCATGCAACTTAATTATGTAGACAAATGATATATTTATGTCAACATGAAAATGATTATGTTGACATGCGATTTACTAACATCTTTAAAGAATCAAATTTTAATGTTGGCAAACTTACTTACTGACGCCAATTAATGACATCATACAAGCAAGATGCAACAGGCTTACATGTATGTTGACATACGACTTGTATGATAATTATGTAGACTTACAACTTATTCATTTTATATGCAAGATAATTATGTTTACGTGCAAGTTATTAATGTTAACGTGCGAGATATGTATGTTGACATGCAACATACATGTATTATCTTTCATGTTTACATAAATATCTGGCATGTTAAAATATAATTTCCGTGTTGACATAAGTCGTACATTGACATAAATAAAGTTACATGTTAACATATTTATCATGAATATGGGCATACACTAACATATTTATCATTAATATGGGCGTAAACAGGTCACATATCTACCTAATTATGTTCATGTTAAACTAAATTAGTCGCATTTTTTTGACAAAAGTAAGTCGCATGTGACGTCATTAACTTGCATGTTAAGATAAATAAGTCAACATAATTCTGTTGCATCTTGTAAAATATTGTATGCATACTAGAGTCAGTAAGTTTACCAACATTAAAATTATCAACTGCCATGAGAGCATAATTATTATACATGTAGACATAATTATCTTGCATGTTGACTTAAATTTATCTTGCATGTAGGGGGGCAGAAATATGCCATCATAATTTATGTTTGCATTTGTTACTAATTGCAGTTTGTTACAGGGCGTTTGCGACGGCGGGTAAAAAGTATGATGGTGTGGAATGGAGTTCAGGGATAAACTTTACCTCGTGGCTGCTGTTTGCTCTACCTATCTCCTTCCTTACCCTCCTACTCGGATGGCTCTGGTTAGATTTGTTCGTTCTCAGATGCAGGTAGGACAATGTTCTTTTCAAACTTGTCGGAAAATTTTTAAAAAAATGTTAAAATTGATATTTTGCCTATTTTTGCAAGTTTTGAGGGGCTCTACAGGTATGTGTTGTAAAATGTGAAACTGGATGCTCTTCTAAGTTAGTAATACCAGAATGCGTACATATATATATATATATATATATATATATATATATATATATATATATATATATATATATATATATATATATATATATATATATATATATATATATATATATATATATATATATGTACTTCGGTAATACATACATAACATTAAAATTGAAGTCTTAATAAACACTCATCTGAGAGTTCAAATTCAGAAATAAAAATGATTTATCTAACATTTTTACAAAATGTGATAATTTTCCTCTATTTGTGGTTAATATGTCCAGTTAAATATATATATATCAACCTCCTTTCATTTTTAGTTCTAAGAAATGACCTTAAAGTCACATTTTTTTCTCGAAATAGAGATTCATATAATAAAGCACGGGAAAGGTAAAATAAATGTTTTAATTTATTTAATTAATTACCTTGTAGTAAATCCTGTGATTGCTTCAAGAAAGAAAAGTCCGCGTTTGATTTACAGGTGCGAGAAATTATAACGAAGGAATTCAAGGAGTTAGGCAGAATAACGTAAGTATATTATTCATTCATGTTACGCAGTAACACATTAACCTATATCTCCCATCAGATGAATAATTACTGTGGATTATGCAAGTAACTTAAATATCAACTCCAAATGTAGCTCGTTTTGTACAATGTACATGTCGAATTTACATTATGTAATTCTTTTATTTATTAATTTTATATCCTAACCTTGTATCCCTTCCTCACATTCAAAATATTCAGTGTGCAAAGTTATTATTTTTTTTGGTAAACTTTTGAAATATTTTAACTCTGTTCCTCTGGAAACGTCATATGGTCCTTATGAAAAAGCTAAAAAAATCCAGAACACCAGAATACAGACTAGCTTCTGTGATTAGTGATACTGGCAATCGTAGGTTTTTTAACATGTTTTTAAGCCATTGCATTTTACGGAAAACAAGAGTTAATAAGAAATATCTGAAAATTAAACTCGATATCTAGGAAATGACGCTGTAAACATAAGAAATATTCTAGAACACAAACTGACAATGTCTTGTGTTAACTATATTTCAAATATTTCAAGTTAAAAGTCCTCACCTTTTTTTTATACATATATTCATCAACATTGCTTCCAATCTTTTATCTTATTAACAGAAAAAAAACGAGACAATGCCTTCTTATGGAACATCTGAAATATATTCCTTCTACATTTTCAATCTGCTTAATTCTTCTCTTCATTATAGTCCTGATGGACCAGTTTTTACTGGCGTGAGGGTAATCAAAATTTATCATCAGTTTTGAAGCTTTTAAATATTCCTTAATAATCAATCAATTACTACACCTATATCGGATTCCCTACGTTCATAAAACGTCAATAATATTACAAAAACAAAAACAAAACAAACAAAACAAAAAAAAGCATATTGGGTTCTAGTAAATGTTCCAGCAAATCTTTTCTTCTCACGAAATATTAGCAGCAATGAAGGAGAAACTTCAGGAGTAATCCACAACAGCATATTTATGAAGTGGATTAAATCAGATGTGGATACCTATAAGAACTAGACAGAATTTTAAGAAAATTTAAAATAACCAAATTTTACCAAAATGAAAACATCAAAGCATACACCCTTCAACACTCGGTGCAATAAAATACATTGTATATGGAGATAACGAACAATATAAAAGCGCAAAAGTCCATTAAACTATACAAAGTCTGAAGCAGGGCAAATACGAACCTCTTAGATACTGAGTATCAGAGATATGATCAGATGCCTCGGAGGAATGAGCACCCCCCTGCCGACCAGTCACACCCGCCTTATGCTCCTTGTCATGATCGGGAAATAACAGAACAATCGGTCGACAATTCAGTGTGTAAATATTGGACATACAATTACTATGAAAAACGTCAGTCAGCATATGACTTAATGATAGATTGTATTTACCGACAAGGTCATTGTATTAATCATAGAACGTACGAAATGATGACATAAAACGAGACTGCTGATATCCTTTTAATTTTCTCCTTTATCTCTGAGGTTTTCGAAGGCTAGGTCTTTCATCGTTGTGTTGGAAGTCCAAACTTTTTTTTCAAAGACTTCTATTGAAAAATACTGACGACTAGACTGCATGATAAACGTGACGACTTCAGCTTTTCTATTGTCATTCTACCTTATTTATAAACCATATACACATGGATAACGTATGAGTTCATACCTCCCTGTTGATTCGATACGCAAGAACATGGTCTAAAAGCGAAATATTTTTTTTTCTAAAAATCTCGTTTAAACATTTGCAGATCTCTGTGTTTATTACACTGACCATTTTTACCAATACAGTTGTCATTTGGAAGAACGTTGACAGTCTTCTTTTCGTAGAAATTGTTTGACTTTTTATTTTCACACTGAATTCAGAATAGATTTTTCGTTTATGAGGAGCACACGGCGAGGGTGATTGGTTGACAGGGAATGCTTACTCCTCCATGGCACCTGATCCTACCTCTGTTTTTGCTCATGATCTGAGATCTGCATTGTTTGAATTGACTTTTTGAGAATGATCTTTATCTTCACATATCATAAAAACGTGTCTTCGAACAATTTAATGCTAGGGAGTGCATTTTACAAAAAAAAAAAATGTTTTTCGAATTTTCTTCAAGGTTATGCACGGAACGTTTAGATGGTTATTAGATGGGTAGAATAATGCAAAATACTAATTTTTGCGAAACATTATTTTTGTACAATAACACGAAACGGTCTACCCGCTTATATTTCATTCTCGTGTATATTTTAATTAGAATTGATTATATTATAATTGAAAATTAAAAAAAATAACCATTTTTTTTAAAAAAAATATTGTCTCGTCTTTGAATACTTGTCTCTCAAAAAATTGCAGCATTTTTTGTGATCTACAATATTAGTTACCAACCGCTAAAGTTGTTGGTCTTTGTCGTTATTTCGTAAATGCTTGAATTAAGATCCATAAAATTTGAAAGCCAAGATGTTGTATTCCTCTAAAATTGTTACATGCAGCACTGTTTATAAGTTGAAAAACGGGTTCTTTCACTTTGCTTTTTTGTCCCTTTATATAAATCTTGTGGCGAAAAAAGAAAAGAAATCGAATATTGATTTTCATTTGAACTTTCACAGGTCCGTGTTTGTTCTGCTCCTATTCTGTATTGTTGTACGGACTTTGATATTGAATACTGTTCGTTATCTCCATATCCTTCTTCCAGCTTTGCAGAATGCTTGGTAGGTGTGATGTTCGGTTGTTTGGCAGTTTTGTGGATTTTCCGTGAACCACCAAATATCTCAGGTTGGGGAGAGCATTTCAAAGACAGGTATTGACTTAACACGCATTGTATTTTTCTACAGGTGCTAACCATTTTCTAAAAGTATTGACTATGTACAACAGGCATTATAAGATACGGAATTTTGAGTGCGGCCTTACACGCATTTTTTCAACGTTTAGACTTGAGTATGACTGTTGAATGTACTGCTAAAAATTGTTGAATATTTGGAAATCTGTTCTTGATCATAAAAATATGATGGATTTATGACTGTATTCCACATGATCTAATGTTAACAAAGCTAAAATTATCCAGTAGTTTAATGAAAACCAATGCATGCCAATTTATCCAGATAAAATCCAACAACATGTGTCTAGCAAAAAAAAAAAAAAACCGATTCACCCTGAAATGAGCTAAAATTACTTGGTGTTACTATAACTACAAATCTAGTATTTGTAAGAAAGATTCAAAACAATTAAATGTACTTAAATGGCCATGTCAATGTGTGTCATTTTCTTCAGATTTGTTTCTGATTCTACGCCAGCCATGCTGATTGCTGTATCTTTGTTCATTCTTCCAGCCAAAGCTCCCTCTGTATTCTGTGCCAGAAAACCTGGTAAAGTCTCTTACATCAGTCTCAAAATTCATAATGAACGGACTAGAATACATTGTTACAGGAATAAAAAACACAAAAATATCATTTAAGGTGAAAACCGCTATACCCCTATTCTGAACTGGGAGAAAACCGTCCAGAAAGTGCCATGGGGAGTTATCGTCCTTCTTGGGGGAGGATTTGCTCTCGCCAAAGCCAGCACAGTAAGATTCTGTATATACTGCATATATATTGTAGAATCATTAGATTTTGTGGTGAATCAATATTCGTGGTGTACCCTTCATTCACGGATACACACCCCTCCACGAATTACTAGTACCAGGGTTTCAAATACACATTCCCTTTTGAAGATATGAGTGAATACATGAACATGTTAAATTGAAATGATTCTACAGTGTATAAAAATTGTGTTGTGGTACTCAGGTCTTCCGATTTAGGAGGAATTACGTATATAAAGCATCAATGAAAGAGGTCGTAAAAAAGGCTGTTCGTCGTACTTTTTAAACGGAAATATTTATTATTTTTGTTTCACTTTATAATGTTCTTACATGAACTTGATTAAAAAAATAATTTTCATAGATTTTATCTTTAGCCACCCACCATTTTTTAAATGTGTTTCTGCATTTCTCAGCAATCAGGTCTATCGAAATGGTTTGGGGAGAGTCTAGATTTCCTCTCCGTTTACAGTCCTTTCTTGTTGTGTCTAGTCGTCAGTCTAATCGTGGCTGCAGTAACAGAAGTGACCAGTAATACAGCCACGGCAACACTGTTAATGCCCATATTACAAGAGCTGGTATGTACGCAAAAAATTATGAATAATGTACAGTAATGAAAGAATATTGTCGTTATCAACTGAAGGATCAAGGAATACATTATTTTATTAAGTAAATCAAATTTTGATTCTTAAAACTCCAAAGAAATCCATAGACAGCTGCTTTTTCAACAAAAATGGAAGTTGGATATCTTTTATATGAGATTAAAGACCTTTCATATTTTAAAGTTTTTTTCAAACTTTTAAAGAAAAAAGAATAAATAAAAAAATATAGCAGCTAATGTTTATAATTTTAATATAAACAGTCCATCACGGCTGGGCTGAATCCTCTATACCTGATGATGGCTGCCGCAGTGGCATGTTCCTTCGCCTTCATGTTACCAGTGGCTACACCTCCAAGTGCCATCGTGTTTTCACACGGATTCCTTACTATTCCTGATATGGTATGTGATTCAACGGAATATCATTTTTATTTGGACCCTTGTAAATAAGAAAAGTATATAATATAGATTTTAAAAGTAAAAAAAAAAAATTCCATGATTGTATAGAATGTACAAAAGTAAAAAAAAAATTTGCTTAAAAAATCTTTTTATGCGCTCATTTTCCGATAATCAAAAGTATTAGTCTTCGAGAGATCTTTACCACATTCTAGGAGAGAAAAAATACCTCTCTTCATTCAAGATTATCGTAAGTTGCAAAAACGATTATTTTTTTCTTTATAGGCCTCTGCTGGATTGATGATGAACGTCATTTCAGTGTTTGTTCTTACATTTGGAATTAACACGTGGGGAAAGCTTTTGTTTGACTTCGACAATGTACCAGTGATATTCCAGGAAATAGAAAGAAACACTACATCGAGTCCAATGGCACAAATGTTAAATTCTTCAGTTGTTTGATTCACTGTCGTTTTTCAGTATTATGAGTATCTCAGTATTCCATGCACATCAGTGTCCAAAAAAAGACACGCACAATAATCCGTCAACTTTGGTAATGGGTAGCTTTTAAGATATGTGAATTTTTAAAAAAATTATTGTTTTTAACAATTTCGCTGTCATTCCTATTTTGGTCATAACGCACAAAAATTATGATATATTGTATTGCTTTCATTATAAATTTGAAGGAGAAACGCATATCCTATATGCAAGTACAAAGAAACGTTTAAAAAAGTAAGACCTCACAAGAACGGTATGGGCATTGTAATTAGAGAACATAGAAATACTCAGGGTGTAATAACAGTAGACAATAATCCAGATAACATTAATGTTGTTTTGAAGTTATTTCATATGTACATTACAGACAATTATCAGATAAAGTAGAGGATCTCACTTGATATTAGAGAGGAAAAATAAACGGACATAGAAATACTCAGGGTGTAATAACAGTATACTATAATCGATATAACAGTAAATGTAGTATTTAAAGTTATCTAATATGTAAATAAGATTTAAACACATTGTCAGGTAAGGTAGGTTATCTTGTAGCAATACAGTCTTAGTACGAGTGTTAGGGTGGAAACAGCCTGAGCAGCATATAACGAGTTATATTAACACTAATTTGTAGAGACAACATGGATACCTCTTTTTTTGAAGCACACAATGTAGAAGCTTAGCTTTATAATAGACACGCATGTAGTAACGCTTACCTGGCTTGTTAGATTCTTGTAAAGAAGGTAATTGATCTCATAAACGGTGGCCTCCTCATTCCTTTACGAGGTTGAGAGGGTGATTCAGAGATTGATCGTAGTCCAATGGTTCTGTAGACAGGAAATAGTGTAATTAAAAAAACATATGATTCTCTTTCAATTTTAAAAAGCATTTATGAGTTGTTTATTTTGTATATTTCATTTTTTTACGATATATTACCATTCATTTCTTTAATTTTCAATTTGACGATAAAGACATATACATGTACATGTAAATACTTTTATTTCTTACACTTAAACATATTCTAGCTTTGATAACTCTTTCCTCCAATCCAAATCTAATGTATTTTTTGTAAAATTGGGAATAAGTCTATAAAAATTGTTAAAAGACTAATTATTCTTTAAAATCGTATTACATCAAGTATATCATATTTTCACATAAATTGATTTTAATTTTTTTTTTTAATTTCACGTTAAATACATCGATAACATTTTTTCTTGCAAAATCATATACTGTTATACAACTTTGAAGCCTAGCTTTCCAAATTGTACTCTGTTTTATTTATTATCGTATCAAATAAAAGATATAAATTAACGAATTGTTTTCCTTTGTTTAAGACTGATCCAAACAAAAGATAGGGTTTTTGGAATAACATGTCTATAGCCAAACTTTCCGAAATATACTCTGTTTTATTGATCATCCTATAAAATAAAATATATAAATTGACAAATTGTTTTATAGATACATATATAAGAGGTAATATATATAATTGTTATTAGCACAACTTTTTGTATTCACATGAAGCAGAGTTTTTCCAAAGTCGTGAACGTGAAATTAATAGAAAATACTTGCTGTGACCTTCAACTCGGTATTTAAATGTATCGGCGACATATTGTCAATTAACAATAGTTATTTTCATTCTTATGTGTATACAATACATCCCTGTGATCTAGAAATAAAATATACCACAGAACACATCTGTTTCAAATGGATATTTTACTTGAAAAAGACGTTAATGGTAATCTAAAACATGATTTATGATAAACGTGATGACTTTTGACTTTTCAATTGTCAAATTCCCTTACTTATGCAGCAATATACCTTCATCACCTGTAATGGGGTTTATATCTCTCAGTTGATTCAATACGCAACAACATGTTCTACGTATGTACAATTTCTGAAGCGAGGTAAATTATTGACAAACAAGTTTGATGAAACAAGAATATCAGCAGTCTCGTTTAAAGTCACCTTTTCGTAAGTTCTATGGTCTATACAATGATCTTGTCAGCAAAAACAATTTATCATTGAGTCAAATGCTAACTGGCATTTTTCATACTAATTGTTAGTCCATTATTTACACACTGAATTGACGATGGATTCTTCCGTTATTTCCCAATTATGACTGATTTCTTTTTCATATTGATTAATAGACCATTATTTACACACTAAATTTTCGATGAATTTTTCAGTTTCTTCCCGATAATGACAAGAAGCACACGGCGGGTGTGACCGGTCGACAGGGGATGCTCACTCCTTCATTACACCTGATCCCACCTCTGACGTTTTGAAGGTCCGTGTTTGCTCTGTTCCTATTTTTCATTGTTTTATGGACTCTTGAGTTTGAATACTGTTCATTATCTCCATATATTTCATATTTTTAAACTGTGCAAATTAAAAGCATTTAACTGTCTAGGAAGGCAGGTTATGTGCTAAACTTTAACGAGAAACAGGCATTTCAAATAGTTAGAGGTGGTTTACTGTACAGACAAGCACCTAGCTTGATTTCCCATGACCTCATAATTCATGGTTTCAATATCAAAAGAAGATAACAAACATAAACCAGTTCTTGTTTCCAAGACCTAAAACTAAAAGACTCCAGAGGGTTAACAAAAATAGAAATATGATGAAAAAGTCAATATAACTCATAGTGAGAGATCAAACAAAAATCCACAAACAATAAAAATCATTTAAAGAGCATAAACAATTCCAGATCTGCAGTTAGGTGCCTAGTTGATATAAAAACCCCTATTGGCACACCCTCCATCAGCCATAATGTTTGATCAGGTATACAAACATTAATGGGAGAGAATTTTAAGAACCAACCCAGGTCGGTCGGCCGTTTTATTGCAGAAGGAAAAAAAACTCTCTAACCAGAGTAAATGTTTACACAGTCTTTTTTCTGATAAGTTTTAAAAGATTGTGTTTTATGTTTGATGCTTGACATTCTGGAATGAACTTAACGGACACTCTTTGCCGTTTTTGTTCTGCACAGGGATGGCTCCTCCAACGAAAATTATTTATATTGTTTAACTTCAACGATATGGTACATTTTTTAAAGTCATCATTTATGATGCTAATTGTATATCCAGTTTAAAAAGGACCAGAAAGAGCTTAAAACACGACCCCTTGGCATCTTCAGAGGTGGGATCAGGTGCGGTGCTTAGGAGGGGTAAGCTACCCCTGCTGATCGGTCACACTCGACGTGAGCCCTGTGTATTGTTCGGGTGGTCGAAACTGTAGGTAGTCAACTTCAATGTAAAAACGAAGGCCTTACACTTCGTTCAAAACAAACCAAGCAAAATACCACCCAATGATAAGTTAAATTTGCGAAAAAAGTCGTCATAACAACTATAGAATTTAAGCAATGCTGACTTTGAACGAGATTGTTGAACATGTCTCGCCTTAAAAGTTAGCTTACTCAAAGCAAGCTTTTAAGAAATTCGAATAAATTGGGAAACATATTAAACACCATACGCTGGTGATAGAGGGATATAACTACATTAATAAGGAAAGCTAACGATGGATAAGTTGAAGTAATCTAATATGTTATAAAATGACCGTCCTCACCATCTGCAAAGGGTGTCTATCGTATGCTGAATATTTTATCTAAAAAGATATCTTCACTTTGAAATACTTTTGTTCCAAAGTTAGATTTAATTCATTCATTCTAATGCTCAAAGCACGCAAACATTTTGTATCTATAGAAGTTAGCAAACAGAATTGAACAAATGGTTATCATGTTCAAACTTCAGTATCAAGGTATGATTATTTAAGCCTATGATTTCAAAATCTATTAAGATACAGATTATGTTACATGTTTTTAAGATATGACTAGAGAAAAAGACATAGTATAAGCAAAGTTATAATACTTAGCTTATAGTGTAACTTCAGATCATAACTGTTTGGAAAATGTCTCATCGTTGTCCCAAAGTATAAGTGTGTTGGTATATCTACTCTGGAATACTAGTAATTATCTATAAAAGGTCCCTAGATTTAAAAAAAATTGTCGAATCGAAAAGTGTTTAACTAGATACTTATTATTGACGTCACTGATAAAAAAGACAGCGTGCTTTGTCATAAACAGCTGTATTTTAAAATTCTAAGGTCACTGACGTATTGATATTGGTCGCAAGCCGAATTAAAGGCAGTGCTATTGACAGATATTCATAACCTTAAGTAATTTACTTTGCATAAATCTTAGATTAAAATCAACACAAATTATTTGTAAACCGATTATTTTCGATCATCTCTGGAGAATATGCCAGACATATGCAAAATATTTTGTGGATTGTTGAGACTGTTTGGTCTTATTATTCCATCTGTATATTCGGCAGGGGATGCTCACTCCTCAATGGCACTTGCTCCAACCTTTGATGTTTCGGAGGTCCATGTTTGCTCTGCTCCTATTTTGTATTGTTTTATGGATTTTGATCTTGAATACTGTTCGTTATCTCCATATGTCTCATTCTATAACAGTACGACAAAAATGATTTCAGCTTTTCGTCGTCAGCTTCCCTCATTAATGAAGAAATATCCCAAGATCACCTCGTATATGGAGTTACTATCTTCCAGCTGATCCGATACGGTCGTTGAAATGAATTTTTTCAGTAAATTCTATCTATCATTAGATTTTCTTTTGTCTAAAATGTTATGCCATTGCTTTTATTTTAAAATTGAGTATGGAACACTCCATCTAAGTCATCACCGCGTAGAGCTCACGGTTGTTGTGATTGGACGACATGGGAATGTTTCCTACGCCTAGGTACCTGATCCCAACATGGTGTTTCCACGCATTTGTTAGCGGATTTATAAGATTGATCACTGTTAGCCATCTTCCCATTTGACATCCTGTAGGCGTTGACCCAAGGTCTTTTGGACAAGGTACAATTCTCTTGATGGGTGGAATTCAATACTAGTATGGCCTAAAAAGTATAGATCAAGAATGAATTTC